CGAGTGCCCATGGTGTTCCAGAATTGGGAAAAAAGCAGGGGACATGCCTTCTTCCTGGGTTTCTGCATGTGCCCAGTAAGAAGGTCACCTCTGGTCACTTTAGAGGACTTTGGACCAAGTGCAAGGTGGACCCCAGTTTCCGCAGCGCCATGCTGCCACCTAGTGGCTGCCACTTGGTGTTGTATGGGCAGCCTGAAAAGGCCCTGCAGTTTTCAGCAATTGTTTAGAAATCCCTGACTGGGGCTCCTCAAAGCCCCTCAGAGTGAGTCCAGTCTGGAGGCCCAAGGGGATGTCACCCAGAGCAAGTTTTTCCTGGCACAATTTGGTTAGGAAACACTTCCGGTAAATCAAAAGCTGCCCCCAAATGGCATTCACAGTAATGAGGAAACCTACGGAGCTCCATCCTGGGGTGCTGACCCAGCCTTTCAGATCCATCCTTCCAGCCCTGCTCTGCCCCCTCGCAGGCCCGGCAGGGTTTGGGGCAGTGAGGAAGCGTGGCACCAACTCTAGATAATCCCATCCACCCCTGTTCAAAGGGAACAGTTTAGTTTTACCAAATTAAGCCTGTCTACCAAGCCATAAATACAGCCATTAAAAAAATGCAATGTGGCCGGGCGCGGTGGCTCACGCCTGTAATCCTAGCTCTCTGGGAGGCCGAGGCGGGCGGATTGTTTGAGCTCAAGAGTTCGAAACCAGCCTAAGCAAGAGCGAGACCCCGTCTCTACTAAAAATAGAAAGAAATTAATCGGACAACTAAAAATATATAGAAAAAATTAGCCGGGCATGGTGGCACATGCCTGTAGTCCCAGCTACTCGGGAGGCTGAGGCAGGAGGATCGCTTGAGCCCAGGAGTTTGAGGTTGCTGTGAGCTGGGATGACGCCACGGCACTCGCTCTAGCCAAGGCAACAGAGTGAGACTCTGTCTCAAAAAAAAAAAAAAAAAAAAAAAAGCAATGTGAGAAAGAGGCTTTGGGAATAAAATAGGCAGTACCTTTGCTAATGAAAGGAACATTAACACCAAGCCTGGTGGCATCTCGGCAAAGCTGAACACCTAATCCCAGGGGAGCTGGGGCTGCGTGGGGCAGGAGCCGCGCTAGGTGGGACTTTCCCTGGACGCTTTTAAATTTGACCCCTGCAAACGATTCACTTGCTGAATGCCCACTTGTCCAGGAAGGTCCTGCCCCGATGCCTGCCCTGTTCATTTAGGTGCAGTCAAGTGAGAAGCCGCTACGCAGAGCCAGCAGCTGGGCCTGGCGGGCTCCTCGGTGGCCTGGGGTGTGGGCGCCCGAGAGGGAGGAGGCCCAGGCGCCCCTCGCTCACGTGTGAGGGCCGTCCGAGCTTCAAGCTGTGGGGCATCCTGACCCTGCCTGGTGCCAGCACCCGCCTGCGTCTTCACGCTGAGGCAGGTGCGACCAGAGGTTGGCAATCAGAAACTCCAGATGTCCTTCTCTGTTGTGTTTTTACGAGGTCTGGGGCAAGAGGTTTTGAGAGAGATAGACTGACTTAAAAAAATTTCTCAAAGTTAAGTGAATTGACTCTCACTGTCTTTTAACACCAGAGCGGCTTTAAAAGCATTTGACACAGACCCTCACCTCCTGGTTACCATGGATGAGGTGACAGGGTGCAATCCCAGAGCTGTCACTCGATGCTTAGCCGCTGGTGCGGCAACGGCTCTGAGAACGTCCTTCCGCTCCAACGGCAGGTGGGAAGCTGTCCGGCTGCTCGTCCTGCCTGTGCTTAACTCCATAATTCCCCTCCCAGGGAGATGACCCGTGTCTCCCACGCAGGGACAGCCAGCCTCTCCAAGGCTGCTTGGCACAGAGGAGGTGACTGAGTGAGTTGACTTCAAAAGTCTCCTCTGCCCACTGCAGATCAGCTGTGGAGGGGGAGGCAGCCCTCCGCAGACGGGAGAAAGTTGGCTCTAATCTCCATCCCGCACGTGCCATTGGGTGAGTCACCGCTGGCTCCTTTGTTAAGTGGCAGTGCTGGCACCTGCCTTGTTCACCTCACAGGGTGGGAGGACGACGGGAGGTGGCTGTTATAGAAGGGGAGGGCACTCAAGACACCCCAGAAGAAACTAAAGCATCAGGACATGTTGACTAGTAGGTCGTTAATACATAGGTGGTGGCCATCGAGACTCTGGGAAGCAGGGGTGACCCAGGGGGATCCTGGGGTGTCCCCTGTGAGGTCTGAAGTGACTTGTGTGCCATCTACAAAGGGTCTGCTGTTCAGTAATTGTTCATAAGGGACTTGCTGACATCGCCCTAAAATAGCTGCCACTCCCACATGCCCTGCAAACGCAGGGGTCTCCTGTGTGGCCCCCAAGCAGTGCCAGGCACCTGTGGGACATTCCAGGGTCAGGCTGGCAAACTGGCTGCAGCCCACACTGAAGGCCGGCGGGATGGGGGAGCAAGTACTTGCAGGTTAAAAGGGGGGAATGATCTTTTGTGCCCTCTTCCCAGCTGTCTCCCCAACCCTGGTCCAGCAAAGCAGAGCACTGACCTCCCAAATCCAGGGGACGGGCTGCCAAAGACCCCAGTCTGGAAGGGTGGTTGCAGGGACCTCAGATCTGCTGAGTCGGGGGAGAGGAGGTCTCTAGGCTTCTCTCAGTGACACTCAGCTGGCTCTGGCACACACAGAAAAGGAACCCAGCCTCCCCTGCCTCCTTGCCTGGGATCCCCAGCCTGAGGGGGACAGGTCTCCAGTTACATCAAGTGGATATCGCAGAAAGTCCCTCAAGTTTATTTTAATAGGCTTAGAGTTAAACACAAATATGCAACACAGAAACTGTTGGGGCAGGAACAGGAATGTCGTGACCCCATTCAACTAATCATAGAGCCGTCAGCACCCCCAACCCATCCTGACATCTGGCCAGAACCTCGCCCCAGCGTGTGGGGCAGGCAGGGGGCGGCGGGCAGGCCACCGATGCATCTCCCAAATGCCACAAAGACACCAGTGACATCTGGTGGGTCTGCCTGAGGCAGGCGGGATGCTGCAGCACCCACACTTGGAGACATCATTCCAGCCAGGGAGGCGTACGGAGGCCGACGTCCCGTGCAGGGAGGCTGCATCTTGGTGGTGTGGGGGGCAGAATCGAGGAGGAGGCACAGTGGCCGTCCCGTGTGTCTCGGGAGCGGTGCCAGCTCAGAGGACGTGGGCCACACGTGATACGTGTCCACGATGAAGGGAAGCAGCCAGGGCCCTGTGGAACTTAGCCCATCCCCAGGGTCAGGGCTGGCTAGGGCAGTCCACCTCGTGAGGGATTACTTAGTTCTAACATTGCTACGACTTTGACCTCAACAACCTAACACACTGTACCACACCCTGACGTCACACCGAAGTCAGTACTGCCGTGTAACTACATTCAGCAGGTGCGGTTAGGTAAGCGGGTCCTCATTCGGAGAGCTACGCGGCAACCGAACTTGTGTTTGTGCAGGGTGTGCCTGCTACGAGAATAAACAATGTGCATTCAGTCCGTGTGGCCTGACTCTAATGGGATGCCCAACTCAGCGGCACAGCATCACGCAGGGCCTCTAAAGGAAAGAGAAATGCTTCGCTGTGTACCTGCTGTGCATGTCCCCAGAATGAGCAGGACCCAGGGAGCCCAACTTTGACTCATGTGAGGGACACAGACCACATCTGCCTTCACGCTGGCCACACGTGTGCCCAGTAGGCTGGGCGCCTGGCAAACTGACCCCTGTCGTGGGCTGTTGCTTCCCTGCTCCATGGCTCTGGCCCCTGCGGGACCCTGCATGGGACTTCTTGCCTTGGATCTGCTCAAAGATGTGCCTGTGCTCAGGACCATTTTTAGGGGCTTTAGGGAGAAAAGTGCAGGGTCTTTGTCACACACAGGAAACAAAGGCATCATTATCATCACTGTATCGACTGTTAAAACTACTTCTTCCTTCTGGGTATCATGCTCCTAATCTCACAGCACTACATGAATACCTTTCATATTCTAATGCTACCATTTCAGAGACAGATGCCAGTCCAGCAGCCGCGACCCCTGGCTGGCTGTTTCATTGGGCTCCTCTGTTTGGGAGAACATCCTGGGCCTAGGGGAGGACCACCGTCGGCCTCAGTGTCACTTGATCATCCAGCAGAAAGCACAAATGGGTTTCTGGGAGTTCGTGTGATGATCTAGCACAGCTTAGAACTGGTCCCTCAGGACAGAAAGGTTGGTTTTCTGGAAGCCCCTGCTGGAACCCCTGAGCCATCTCAGCGTGCAGTGAAGGGGTTGATTATAGAACCAAATCGAAGTGGGGGTTGCCTATGAGATGGGGGCTGTATTTCAATGAGTTGACCGTCTACAGCGCATGGAAAGCCGGAGTGCACTTTCCCGCTCTGTGCCTGATCAAAATACGGACCTGTCAGCAGTTTACGAGGATGGAGCACGAATGGTCTCGGTCATCTCCAAGGTCATCCTGACTCTCACTGACAGGCCGTGCTCTTCCATGTTTTCCCCGAGGGTGCAACAATAGCTTAATGACCGATTTCGAGATGCCATTTAGGAAAAAAGCAAAACTTGTGTTTACAAGACTATCATAGATGAGTCACTGTCATGAGTAACATCTGCAAAACTGCTAAACCCTGTAGGGTTTCCCACCGCTTATCCACTCAGGACAGGAGCATTAATAATTAAAACTTGCGAATGGAATAACAGTGACCTCACATCATGGTGACTAAGAAGCTGATTGTTCCAAAGGCAGTTACCGTTCACAAATCGCTGGTGTTCGTGGTAAAGAGAGTACCACTTGGTGGTGGGTTGAAAGGCGCTTCTTCTCTGTATCTTTTTTTTTTTCCTTTTTCTATTTTGGGTAGAAATATTCCTGGGAAGCTAGATAGAAATGCATTTTCATTTCCCAATAATTCTTAGGCACAAGCTAGAAAACTGCTGACCTCCACTAAAATATGTCAGCACTTCATGTTATAAAAAATGCAATTCAGAACCGCCGCATGTGCATATACGCGTATCTAAATATATACACACATCGGTGCAGTACACAATGGTTATTCAATGTATATTGAAAACTGAGCTATTTGTAACTAACCTGAAATTCTGCAGTGAAAGTTCATTGCTCAAGAACAATTGGAAGTGTCTTTCTTTCGGCTCTAACTATGGTAAAACGTTTGCACATCAGACTCTACCATTTACATTTTCCTAAGTGCCGATACCGGGACAGTCTCACATGGGGATCAGAGGAGGACGCTGCCTAGGATGCGTGATGCAGCTACCGAGCATGCGCACAGGGCCAGCTCCAGCGGCACCTGGTCAGTGCTCCCTTGGGGTGGAGACCCTGGAGGCCGGAGCTGCCGTGGGCGGCGTGGCGGCGTCATCTGGGCGTCGTGCTGACTCTGGCTGGGGAGGAGGGCCCTGAGGAGGAGCCACGGTAAACGGGGGACGTTGGGGAGAGTTTAATGGGGCTTGTTGGGTCCCCAGTTTGGAGCTTCCAAAGCAGCTCTTCGTTGGTTCGGCTCAATCTCTTCTTCTCCTGGGTTTCTTTTTCAACGTATTCCTGGAGATTAGCGTTTTCCTCCGACAGTTGTCTGCATGGGGGAGAATGACAAACGGTCAAGCAGCAATCACGCTAGCAGACACTTAACTCGAGGCCATGCCAATGGTTGCAGGGCAGAGGGAGAAAGGGACACTTCCCACTCGGTGCCCAAGGACCTTGGTTGAAACATGATTTCTGCTTGTCCTGTGGACACATCCGTTCCCAGAGCCTCTCTGGCCAACACTTAATCAGCTCACAGCCCTCCACCCGGTCAGGGGAGGCGCTGGTTGTCCATCCGACAGAGCACAGGAGGGAGGTGGGCAGCTGGTGTGGGGGGCTGCCGGGGGCTCAGAGAGGAGACGTCGCCACGGAATCGGCAGTTGACAATGACAACACCACAAGGGCAGTGATCAGAGGGCCTTCCTGAGTCTCTCTGAGCCTGCTGGGAGGCGGGGGATGCCTCCTTCTGGGCTCCCTGCCCAGGGCTCCATTACAGCAGGCATCCCCCGCCCCATGCAAATGCTGGTCTGTGGGTCTGTCTGCCCGCTGGGCCGTGAGCCCTGGAAGTAGCACCCAGCATGGTGCCCACACATAACAGAGGCTCAGTTAATGTTTGCTGATAAAGGATGCTGGATGGAAAATGAATCATCAATGAATTTTGTGCCTTCTTTTATGAAGCTTTGGTCGTTTGTTGCATTTTTTAAAGTGACAGCACCTTTGAGAAACTGACAGAAATAAGTACATGTGCATTTTACAGCTGGACAGATGGAGGCCCAGCAAATCACCCCTCTGGGTAAAGCCTGTCCTTGCTCTGCCGACGAGGGCACCTTTGCAGATTCTCAGGGGAGATCGGTGCTGCTCAGGCTCTTTCTCCCACACTTTCAGCAGGGAGGCTGGAAGACGGCCCTGCCCACCCCAGGCCTGGGGCAAGAGGAAGCCAGAGGGGCGAGGGGGACAGAACCTGCTGCCCCAGTGCGCTTTCCTGTGTGCCTCTGGGGTGGGAACCGTATGCCTGCACGAGGGGCTCGGTTGTGGAGACCATGGCTCTGTGTGCATGTATGCGTGTGTGCAAGAATGTGTGTGAGTGTATGTATGCGTGTGTGTGAGGGTAAGCATGCAAGTGTGAGTGTGCAAATATGAGGGCACGTGAGAGTGGGTGTGATTGTGCATGAGAATAAGTGTGCGTGTGAGCATGTATGAGCACACATGAGGGGCTGTGCAAGTGTGAGTACATGCATGTGTGTGGCAGTGTGCGAGTGTGCATGTGAACATGCAGTCCTGTGTGTGCATGTGCGTGAGTACGCATGTGCACATGAGCGCGTGTGCACAGGGTGACACAACATGGGTGCGCCGAGGAGCCCAGTTCAGTCCAGTGGGCGAGGGTTTACTCCTGGGTGTCAGTGGGTGGCGAAGCCCTCGGGGAAGAGATAAGCTACAGCTGGATGATGAAGCCAACACCCCGCTGCTACCCACTCTGAGATGGAGAAGGGAGGGGCCTCCACACCCTGCCTTGGAAGTTGGGGCACCTCAGAGCCGGATCCTGCAGGGACAGGCAGGACCGAGATGGAAACAGTGCATTTCTGGAAGCCTCAGTGGTGGCTCTTTTGCCTGGGAACGCCCAGCTGGCCCTCCTCCCCTATTCTTGTCCAGAAATAAATCCCTTCACATCCCAGTGCCACCGGGCGCCCCTGCTTCATGCTTCTGCTGACTTCACTCCTTTCTCCTGAGGTGGGGCCCAGTGACACAGCCAGGGCACAGGCCAGGTGTCGCAGGAGAAACGCCAAGAGACCGTGTGGGGCAGACTCACAGCTCAGAGTGAGGCAAGTTAGATGTTGGGACAAAAGGCAGCTCAAGAGCAAAGTCACTCTTGTGTGGGTGACACGTGCTTTGCACGCCAGGCGCCCATCCCACCCACCTGGTGACGACTGTGTTTTGGTCGATCCTTGCTTTGAGGTCTTCATTCTGCTGTTGGAGAACTTGGATCTTTTCTTCCAGGACAATGTTCTTTTCCACCTGTAAAGGATACAGCATTTACGAGGCTCTCAGCAAGGCCATGGGATGGGCAGTAAACCGGGCTCAGCTCTGGGCTTTGGAGGATTTTCAAGAACAGCATTTTGCAAACTGTAGTTTGCAAAGCATTAATGGGTTGTAAAATCAGGTTAGAGGGACATGACCAGCATTTCTTTTTTAAATAAAATAAAACAGAATAGAAAATGCCAGAGTGCACTGTATATAGTAGAAGTGGGTACTGTTACATATGTTTTATACATGTATTTTTATTTATACACACACACACACACACACACACACACACACACACACACACACACATATATTTGTGTGTGTGTGTTGGGTTCCTGCGTAAGATATATTTCTCGCAGTGAGTGTCCCCAGGCCCTTGCGATTGTCAGAGATAAGCCACGAACGCCACCAGGACCTAATTTGACGAGTGGCCAGATGGTTCTTCCCGAAGGGTCAACTACAGTGCAGCAGTGTCCTGGGCCAGCCATGCATACACTATATGACATTCTGAATTAATGGAGGGACAGAAATATAAATAATGTGAACACACTTTTTCCATTTGAGGCTGTGGGCAGCCAGGAACACAAAGCCCAAGACCATCTTGGCACATTGTCAGGAACCCCATCATCCCACGGCTGTTATTCCCCGATAATTTATGCCTCTCTCTCTGTCAGTGTGCCCCCGAGGGCCTGAGACCTCGCTGAAGTACAGTTCCACTCTAAGATGAATTTAGAAATCAATTATTCTTTGAAAAGAATGTGGCAAGTTCACTGTTAATGCAGTTAATCTTTAAAGAAAACTGTCACTTGTCCATGAATAGGGCTTAGGAGTCCTCGCCACAGGACTGGCCTCTATCCCTGAGCTTTGGCAAGGGACCTCACACAGCCCTGGTCTTTGCTCCCAGGAGATGGGAAGTGGTGAAATATCTTCTTTTTGGCCTGGAACAGTCTCTGGAATGAGAAGCCTTGCATACCTGCAGAAAGCCTGGAGCATGGCTGAAAACAGCCAAGTAAACCCAGAGGCTTGTGGGGACCCAATGCAGATGGCCCAGCCAGAAGGAGGGGCTTCCTGGTTGCTGTCGGAATGGACGTTGCCCACAGTGGCCGGCTGCACGGCAGGGTCAGGCTCTGGCTGTGAGCTCCCCGCCGGCCCTAGCTCTGGACTGAGCTGGGAAGTTCTGCCAAGTGGCCAGGATCACCCAGTCTGCCCCTGCTACCTGATGAGCACCCGTCTGCAAGATATGTCTGCACAAAGGGATCGTTCTAGATAGAGGGGACATAGCAACCAAATGCAAGGGGTGGTCCTAGATCAGGCCCTGGTTTGGATACACCAACTGCAAAGGACGTTCAGAGACAAATGGGAACTTTAAAACTTAGATTAGATGATCAGCTTCTGAGAGGCCAAGTTAGAGATTTGTTAACTGAAAGACAGTAGGATACAAAACCCTTGTGCAGTACAATACGTGGGGTGTGTGTGTGTGTGCATGCGGACACATACTTACAGAGAAAAACGTGGAAGTGGAAGAGTGTAAGAGTGGTTGGAATGTGATGTTTTGATCTTATTTTTGTTTATCTCATTTCATAATTTCCTATAGTGTACATATTTTCCTTTTATGGTATAAAAAGTTTATTTTAAAAATAACAATAATAAAGAGGAAAAAAACAAGAATCTATCTGAGACCCTTGGGCCAACTTCCACACCAACACGGCTCTCCTTGGAAGCAGGTTTCTCCGCTACCCCCTTTGGCCACCTTTCTGGGACTCTCTCCCTGGTCCCCGCTGACCTGGCGCCACAGGCCGGGGCTGAGATCCGGTGCTGTTTCCCCCAGGGGGCGCCCTTTGCCCGCTCTGCAGGAGCCAGGCTGGAGGGCCTAGGTGGGGGAGTGTCTGTGGGAGCAAGGGCTCCGTTATGGACTGAACCCCACATTCCTATGTTGAAACCTGCCCACCAGTGTGATGGGAATAGGGGGTGGAGCTTGGGGGTGATTTGGTCATGAGGGTGGAGCCCTTGCGAATGGATGAACGCCCTCGCCCCTCTGCCGCGTGAGGACTTGGAGCCCTCGGCCAAGGCTCCCGCCCAGCTCGGCCCCTTAGCTCCGCAGGCCCTCTCTCCGCGTTGTGAAGGGGCTGTGTAGGGTAGCCGCGCCACAGGCGCGCTGTCGGAGCTGGGGACAGACTCAGGTGAGGGGCTCTGCGCAGCGCCTGGCACCCCAGTGACGCTGCATCCCGCGTGCTCCCCGCACGTGCCCTAGAGAGGGCTGAGGAAGTGGCATGTCCCCAGGAAAGCCAGGGCGAAGCCAAGAAGAGGTGGCCGGCCGGGAGGGCTCCAGAGTCGGATAGGATGAGGCCACCTCCGAGACTCCTTATCGGAAACCCTGGCTTCCTGAGAAAGGCCCTGGGGCTCAGCTGTGGAATTTTCTGCCCGGGTGCAAGCCATGGGCAGGGAAGGGGCGCACCTGGCTGAACACCGTCAGGGACGACGACAGGGACAACAGCAGGGATGTCACAGACGTTAGTTCTGCTCCTGAGCAAACAGACCAACTCACCAGCTTCTCCAGCTCAATAATCTTCTTTTCCTGCTGGTGTATTTGCTGATTCTTCATCTCTAACACCTGCTTCAGACTCTTCATGTCTTCTTCCAAGTGCTGATAAGGCGCCAGTGCAATCTACAGGGCAGAGAGCAACGCGCTGTCCACCAGGGTTCCCGGTAAAACCCAGGATTAACCAGTGCCGCGAGCGCAGCCACATCTAGCCTTCTGTAGCAAGCTTCCCAGGGCAACTGCAGCACCAAAGACAGATGCTCAAAGCCCGCCTTCGACTTCCCATGGGGAACCCTCCTAAAAATCCAGCTCTGGGGGGGAGCAGGAGAGACGTGGCTGTTGTCCCCTGGAAAGTCTGATCCTGGAACTAACGGACACTGCCAGCCCCTCCACCCTAGAAGGGAACTCGTGTGGTAGGAAGAGTAAACCCAACATTGGCTTTTAACATTCGCCCAGACTACCTGATTCACCAAGCACCTGGGGACCTTATAGTCCCCACCTGTGCCCATGGAGAGGCCAGCCCCATCCCCCATGAATAGGAAATGAGCAAAGTGGCTTAAGAGGTAGAAAAGTCATTTCAGAAGAAGACATGTTAGAATAGGGTTGCTGGCAAACCATGAGTGCGATGCGCACTTCCGGGGGAATGGACACACTTGAAGCTCGGACTTGGCGGGGAGGGAGGGTAAGGGCATCATACGTAACCTAATCATCTGTACCCCCATAACATGCTGAAATAATAATAAAAAAAAAAACAATAGGGTTGCTGGATGCAAAAAACAAAAATATAGGACACGCTGTTAAATTTGAATTTCAGATAAACAATGTTTTAAAAAAATTTAGTGTAAGTACTGCATGGGACATAGACTTAAAACCTCATTTATCTGTGATTCAATTTTTCTGAGAGGGTATCTCGCTCTGTTGCTCAGCCTGGAGTGCAGTGGCTATTCCCATCTCCATCACGAGCACTGCAGCCTCAGATGGGTAGCCGGGGCTTATCTGTAATTCCAATTTAACTGGGTGTCCTGTATTTTAGTTGGTAACTCTACATTGGAAGGAAGGAGTTTTGCCAGCTTTTCTGGAAAAAATTCCCTTCAACCTACTAACTCCTGGCGGTGCCAGCCTAAACCAGAGTTGGGAGGGAAGGGGATGGAGGGGTGGTCCCAGACAGGGTGGGCAGTTTCCAGACTCTGCTCTTATCTCGGGAGCCCTGGGACCCTGGCTGGAGACCGCTGTGGAATTTGGCAAAAATAACATGTAGGTGGAGCGGCCCACAGCTGCCGTCTGTCTCAGGGGAGAAGTGCTGGTGGGAATTGTTTAAAACTCCAGGGGAGGTCAAGACCGGCTGTCATTTCTGCAGCGGGTCTGCAGGGGGCCTTGTGTTTGGGTAAGACCCCCGAGGAAGCCACGCGGCCCGCCGGGGTGGGTCCCTGCGGGCTGGGAAGCCTGGAGACCAGAGACTACCTCCAGCTGCTCCTCGGTGTTTTTCCTCAAAGCCTCCTCGAAGCGTCGGGCTCGGTCCCGCAGAGACTGGCTCTGGAAGGTCAGCGTGTCCACCTGGTCCTGCAAGCAATGACATGAGAAGGCCAGCTAGGGCCACTGTGGACCACAGACACCGCAGCCAGGGCCACCACCCGCCCTGGAGCTCTTCAGAGGGTCTCCCTTGGGGCCGAGGAGAGGTGTCAAGGGGGAGCCCCGCATGATAGCGGGAGATTCCCCCTAACGTCCCCTGGTTCTCTCCTTCCGGCACCTCTTCCAGAACAGACCACAAAAACATCGCCAGATGAATTTTTATGCTTGCGAATGGGGCATTCATCGTCTGATCCTGCAGATGCCGATGGCAGCAGAGAGGGGTCTAGTCCAGGAGGCATCGAGCCCCTCACGGTGGGAAGGGCCACAGTTAATGTATTTCAAAGAATGGTTCCCATCTACAAAGCTCACGCTGGAAACCTTCAAACCACCCTTGACTCCCATCTCTGCCTTGGACCCCTCCCACCACCACCGCACACTCTAACTCCCAGGCCAATGATCGCGTCCTGCCCTTCTGCCTCTGTGACGTCCCTGAAGTCCACAGACACCACCCTGAGCTCAGACCACCCTGCTGGCTTTTTCCTGGCAAGTTGACTCTTTCCTGCAGTCAGGCTGCTCTCTCTAAGGTGCAAACCTGAACCCATCCTCCCCCTACTTCACACCGCATTGGCCCCGAGATGTAGTACATGCTCCTTAATTCAGTGTTGAAGCCGTCTGGTCCTCCAGCCTCAGTTCCGCTGCCTCCCTCTCCCATCTCACACTGCAGCTCTCCCGGTGGCAGCGCCTTCCTGCCGCCAGCTCCCTCTCATTCTCAGCTCCCTCTGGCCCCCCCTAGGCCTTCCTGACCTTAGGGCTGGGTGGCATGTCCCGGATAGGAGCTGCCGTGTGAGCCGAGTCCACCAGGCCATGCTCCCTGTTGAGACCCTCTCCCCAGCTGGACTGACACTCCCAGCCCCCGTGTGAGCCAGCGACAGAGCAGCCCTCTACCTGCAGGTTGAAGGGATGAAGGCATGTCTGAGGAGACACTGCCCGTTTCCCAGCTCCCAGGGCAGAGGCGACTACGCTGACCCCTCCCCACCCAACCCCAGCTGTGACTCTCGTCACTCGAGGCCAGCGAGGGATGCTCAGCCATGGCTGGCTGCGGATGCCCACGACAACTTCACTTCTTCGTGCCTCACTCGTGCTGAGCAGTCCGAAGTTCTCCACCCAACCACGCCATCTCTGTAATATTAAAACATAGGGACCAGGGTCCCCATGAACTCTTCAGGCAAGAGGAATGGCCTCACCCCACCAAATACGAGGAGCAGCACTGCCATGCACGTAGCACTGGCTCCACTGCTTTCTTCCTTGCGGCTGCTTTGCAAACCTCCCTGGGAAAGTTCCTTTTCTTCTTTTTTTTCTCCCCTTGCAGTTACTTCTATTTCATTTTTAAGAAATAAAATTCCCCACGGTCCCATTAAATGCAAATGCTGGTGCATTAGGACAATACAGTTGTCAGTGGGAGCTTGCATGCTCCTGAGCTGGCCCAGTGTTCATCACGGCCCAGGGCAAACCCGCTGGTCACCTGCTAGACTGTGACCATAAAAATGACTGTATCTTCCATGGCTCCGTCCCCAAACCTCACCAGTGTTGTCAGAGGAAGCATTTCTTTTAAGCCTCTTCCCTTCCACTAAAAAACAAAACAACAGAAAACTCGTCCTGCAATTACCACCTAGGATAGATATCAAACTGCGATTTTTCTGCTTTATTGACCATTACTTAAAACACATCCACAGAGCCAGGATGGTACTGCTGCAGTCAGAGAGGGCAGACTGTTTTTCAGCTTGGGTTGGCTCTTTTATGTCAAGCTAAGAGACACAAAGACGGAGCTGGTGGCCTGACCCAGCATGGGCCACTCGAGAATCAACCAATGGCATGATAATAAAAAATATAACAGTGCTCGCAACCATTATAAGAGGTACTACTTACTAGCACTTGCCAAAGCCACTCCAGTGCTATGCATTTTTCACACATTATTTCCCTTAACCTGCTCACACCTTGAGAAAGGTACTGTCACCATCCCCGTTTTACAGATGAGTAAACTAAGGTTTACAGAGGTTATGTAGCCATCTAAGATCTCGAAGCACAGCAGGGATTTAAACGCAAACTCAAATCTCTATCCACCACGCCTGTTTCACCAGCTGCCAGTAGCAGCCCCAGAGGTTGGTCTGAGCAACTCCGCCTTCCTTGCATCGAACACTCTCCAGCCCCAGCGGATTCTGCGGATGGAGAGTTACAACTAAAACATGCACAATTCATGACCGTTTGATGTTAGTGACAGAGTGAAGGCTCCCAGACGAAAAAAAACGCTCACTTCTTTTGGCTTTGGATTGGACGGGGTTTTTGTTGTATCGCTGTGTGGCTGTCACTTTCCTGATTTGCGTTCCTCTAAGGATAGTGCAACTATTGGTGCAGACGCGCACGGAAGGCAGCTTGGAATTAGTCCCGCAAGGACTGCACAGGCAACCTGCAGACCCACCGATGGATGGGTGGGTGGGCGGTGGGCTTGCAGCAGGCAGCAGCGTGTGACACCGGTATCTTCACAATCCTGGGTCCTTTCATTGGTGCAGCAGGCTCAGTGTCACGTACAGTGCCAGGGGAAAGTGAGCCACCGAAGATGCGACATTCCTGCCTACGTATTAGTGCTAGGGTAATCGCCTTGCACAATTTCCAGGTGTGAATATCCCTAGTATTTAAAAAACAATCTTGTTACGATTAGAATTGCTACATTTGGAAAAGGAAGCAGGGTCCCCGACCTCACCCTGGCTTCCCAGGCAGCTCTTCCCAAGGGCTGGGGGCCATCATGTCTTTTGACAGGAGCAGCTGGTGGGGGTCCCTGTGAGGCAGGAGGGGGACTCATGTGATCTGCGAGATTCTGCATTCTCCCCGCAGAAGCCAGCGGGAAGCCAGGTGTCTCCTCCGGCCTCCGAGACCAACATCTTCTCTGGGTGGCAGTGAGATGCAGAGAGGGTGTTTTTCATCTCACTCACCTCCAGGTCACTGAAGTCCCTTTGGTAAGTCCCCAGAGCATGTCCTGTGAATTCTGACCTTCACAGCCCTCTTGTACGCCTCCTGCCGGAATGCTCTCTCCCCCAAGTGCCCTTTTGTCAAACAGAGCTCAGTTACTCCTGGGAGATGTCCGGCCACAGCCAGTGCAGAGTAATCCCTCTGAACGTCTGTTGCGCTCACTAACTGTATTATTCATTTGGTGCACGTCTGCGCTACCTGCTGTTGTCCTCTGCTACTATTTGTGTCACAGCTCACTGAGCAGACAGCAGATTCCTTAAGGGCAGGGAGTATGTCTTATTTACCTCTGTATTCTGGTGTTTTGTACAGGCTCCGGTACACAGTAGGTGCTGGGCGAATGTGGGTGGACGTGAATAACCACGGTGCTGTTACCTTGATAGCCATTAGGAAAATTAAGGAAATACTAACCTGTAATGACAGTCGCAGTTTTTCAAAATTTTCTTCCAATTCTTTCTTTTCAAGCTCGTGGGTGGACATCAATTCTGGAGAGAAGACAAAGTTGTTAAGTTGATCTTCCTTTTGAAAAGGATAAAACAAGATGCTTTTTGGCAGACTGAGACCAGATAGATGACTGCTATATATAGCAGGCGCAAGCGTAAGGAGACTCCTCCACTACTTCGAAATTGTGACGACTAGGCTGATATTTAGGAGAGAGAAAGGATGAAGGGAGTAGGGGGAGAGACAGAGAGAGGGAGGAAAGAGGAAAGAAAAGAGGGACAGAAGCAAATCGAGCACATCTGAACACACAAGCCCCACACACACTCACACACGCCAGAAACACCCCACACCACACACATCACACACCCCCCCACACAAACTTACACATGCCAGAGACACCCTATACCACACACACACACACACACACACACACACCATACTATAAACACCCCCACACCACACACACACACACACCATACTATAAACACCCCCACACCACACACACATTCCCCACACACACCACACATACACCATAAACACCTCCCACACTCAGCACACACATCACACACACCAGAAACACCCCACACCACACACACACACACACACACACACACACACACTGTCACACACACACTTCCACATCCTGCTGTACCACCATCCTGCCCAAATCAGATCCTGTGTTCACATTACGCATTGATTCTCTAACTTTCCCTAATGGTAAGACAACTGGGGAATTAATGTAAAATTCTCCTTTTCTTCCCCTCCAAGGATCACTCTTCCTTCCCGCTGCGCGGAGGAAGGAAGCTTTCCGAGAAGAGCAGAGCTGCAAACAGCCGCGTTGCCCGCCTGGGCTTGCAGGAGTGTGGAAGGTAGATGGGACCAGTGCTGTGTCTACATGAACACCACCGAGCTCTGCAGCTTGCTTGAGCAAAGACTCGGTGCTAAGACACTCAGACAGAAGAAAGGACTAATTGGACTGGTTCCTCTTGGAGGGTTTGGAACGATTCTGTTCTGTGAAAAGTGTCATCCCAGCAATAATTTGCAAGTTAGGCAGAAAGAGATGTCATGTAAGAGTTATTAAGCAAATGGATTCTATTTTCCTTCAGACGAGAAGAGTCTTATTAGCTGGGTGAAGCCCATCTCATTCTGGCTACATAAGCAATTTTTTTCATGCAGTAACTAGAGGGAGGAGAGGGCTCATTAATCAGCCCGGGTCACATGCTTAGAACGGGAACGTACTGGAGACCAACAGTTGCTATTCTGGCTGGCACGAGCTGCAATTAGGAAAAACTTTGTGGTTTCCACTGACCCAAATCTTTTAACTAATGGTGGTGAGGGTCACTAAGAAATGCAGTTGTTATAGCTGAAATTTACATTTGGAGAAAAATGTTTGTGTTGATTTCATTGACGTAAAACCACGTGGCCTTCTGGTCTACCTGTCTCTGTCTAAAGGATTCGCTTTAATAGTCATCGAGAGCATCATTCTGACCATAACAATGAATTTTTTATCTACTGTTACACATGCCCACATTGCCTTGACATTGTTTCTAATTCAAAGGCATTGGATGCGGTGTCTAAGCGAGACTTCATTAGTCAGAAAAATCTACCACGTCTATTTATGTGAAAATGCAGAAAAAAGACAACACCCTGGCTCACTGCATCATTTCCATTCATACTGCTTTTCCTGAGACAAGTTTCCTGCAGTGCAGTGATGGGTTTCAGGGTGTTTTCAGAGGACTCCAACACCTCAAGAGAAAAGAAAAGGCAGTATCTATTCTGAAGAGGATATAAACCATTGCTAATACCTGCATCCTCATAAAGTATTTCTTTATTTCAAGTTCATGACACTCTGCCCCGTGCTTAATACTGTGCTCTAAGACAATGGTTCTCACATGTTGCTGCATATTAGAATCACCTGGGGAGTTTTGCAACATTCTGCTGCTGGGCTGCACCCCAGAGCAATCCGCTTGCAAGCTCTGAGGTGGGATCCACACATCACTGTGTATATGTAAACTCCCCAGGTGGTTCCTACGGGCAGCCCAGTGTGGGGACCTGCACTCGGAGTGTGAAACACGCTATCAGGACACAGGCAATGCATTTAACTAGTCCTTAGGAAGCCGTGGCCCTGCCTCCAGCTCTGCGTTGTTCCTTACTGATAGTTCCCGGCGGTGGCCGGCCGGTGCGGGAGGGCGACACTGACATGAGCATCGATGACTGCACACTGGGCTTTGTCATTTGCACAGAACATTTTTACAATAATAAAATACCCTGATGTTAATTCTCAAATCTTAAAAATCTATTATTCTAGGGTTAAATGTCATTTTTAAAAATATATACTTTAAAACCCAGCTGACTAGGGGAAAAAAGGAAGTGGAGATTAAAAAAGAAATGGCATATATTAATTTCGATGCACGTGCAAGTGTGAAAAGCTGCTGCTGCTTTCACAAAGGAAACTCTTACTAAAACTTGGTGACATTGCTGTTATGACTCACATAAAACTCTTAAGTATCCATTGATAGTTCTAAGTTACAAAAATTTAAAAAGAGAGATCTGGAGACTCAACACACGTCCACGGTGAATGTGGCCTGTGAGTGCGAGCTCTGGAGACCCAGACCCAATCAGGGCTGCTGTGGCCCTGAGAACACCACAGACACGGGGCAAGCCCACAGCCACACTGGGGCTTCCATGTGGTTTTATAAGGCTACAAAACATAGAGCCCAAGATTGCCATGCCTGCTGTAGAGCAGTGGTCCTCAAGCGTGGCTACATGTTAGAATCACCTAAGGAGTCTTTTTTTTTTTTTTTTTTTTGAGGCAGAGTCTCACTTTGTTGCCCAGGCTAGAGTGCTGTGGCATCAGCATAGCTCACAGCAACCTCAAACTCCTGGGCTCAAGTGATCCTCCTACCTCAGCCTCTCAAGTAGCTTGACTACAGGCACGAGCCATCACACCCGGCTAATTTTTTGTTTCTAGTTTTAGTTGACTGGCTAATTTTTTTTCTACTTTTAGTAGAGACGGGGTCTCGCTCTTGCTCAGGCCGGTCTCAAACTCCTGAGCTCAAGCGATCCTCCTGCCTCGGCCTCCCAGGGTGCTAGGATTACAGATGTGAGCCACCATGCCCGGCCTAGAGTCACCTACGGAGTCTTTACAAGTCCTGATGCCCAGGCTGCACCCTGACCAGCCAACGACATCAGCATCCCTGGGGTAGGACGGAGGCTGGCACTGGCTTTTTGTTACAGCTCCCCAGGGGACCAGGGGATTCCAACACTCAGCAAGGCTGAGAATAGCTGCTTTGGAGGAAAGAAGTCATTACCTGGATCCTTGATGTCTATCTCTTCTTTTCACAGGAACCAACATAAAAAACACATCAGGAAGGAAAGACAGCAGAGGAGAGGCAAGAGAGGAAGGGAGGGCTTCTTGCTTCTGCAGCGGGGAAGGCTGGGCTCGCACGACCCTCCCCTGCCCGCCGTGCACGAGGCTGGGGGGTACCTTGGACCTTGTGGTCGTGGTCATCCTGCAGGATGGCGATGGCAACTGTGTGGCTGTTTTCCATCTCTAGGAGAGCAGCCTCATGGCTGGCCGTGATATCTTCCACCTGCAGGAGAGGCACCGTCACCGGCTGCGCAGGGAGCAGGGGATATGCTCGCTTGCAGAGCAGAGGTGGAATTCCATGAGTCAAAAAGTCAGTGGCCCAGAACATCCTGGACAAGTCACCTTCCTGAGGCCATAGCTGTCCCCAGCCCTGTGCCGAAGCTGGGGAGAGTCAGAATTTGGTGGTGATGTGGCAGTCCCCAGAGTCACGGGGAAGTCACTGCCACAACCTGGCTCTTTGCGGGAGGATGGCCTGAGCCGCCTCTTTAGAGTCCTGGACGTGGCTTCAGGAACATCCCCTCCCACTCCCATTCCTTCTCCTTGAGCCACTCACTTATGATGTCATGATGGAGAAGGAAAAGAAAAGGGTCCTCCCTCCAAGGTGGTCTCGGCTCTGTTTCCGGTGGCAGGTGGGAGCTACAGTACATGGTAGACAGAGGGAACTAGCATTTATTAAGTTACCTGCTACAGCTCACACCACTAAACCCTCAGAGCCACTTTATGAGGTAGATATTTTTAGGCCCATTTTACAGATGAGGAAAGTGAGGCTGAGAAGTTTAAAATGTTTTGCCCAAGGGGAGTAAATGGTAGAGTTAGCAGTGGGGCCCAGGTCTGTCTGACACCAAAGGTGAAGCTTTTTCAGACACACTATTGTTGCCTCCCCCCAGCAAGACCAGCAACTAACACCTCAGGATTCTGTCACCAGTACCAGGCCAGGCTGGCACACCTGTGTGGAGTGCCCTAAACATAAACTTGCCTGCCAGATTACAATTTGACCTCCTGCCCAGGCAACACGGTGCTGCTCCCGTGAAGGGCTGCTGTTTCCAGCTGAGGTATACTTCTAGGAGTTTGACCACAAGTAGTGCAGCCAGTCCAGGATTTAGCATTTTCACGCTTCCCGGCCCCTACCCTGACCCCTCACCCGCCTGCCTACCAGGTTTACTGTTACTGTTCTTGTGGCCACTCTTTTGTTTAACTTCAAATGTGTGACTTAATGGGAGTAATTCCATAAACAACCTCTCCCTGTTATCACAAGCCTCTCCTGGACAGGCAACAAGAGTGTTTACCCACATTCCTTGTCAGTGACCCCCTGTAGAAATTACCACTGTGCACCATAACACAGCACAGACCACCCCCGACATACCTGCTACCGAAACCGAAGTTTCACGAAACGAAACTTACCCTTCCTGTTTGCAATCATCTGGTTTACATTTTTTTTCATTCTATTTCACTTGGTTTTACAAAATGCTCGTTATGAGCCCCTAAATTTATTTCACAACCTACTAATGTGTCAATACTTGGCATTTGAAAAACACTGAATCAGAAAATGTGCCCAGGTCCTGAAGCTCCCTGTGGCCCAGATAAGAAGACGTTGCTTCCAGCTGTTGATATTCAGCCTCTTACGAGAGTTTCTTATTCTCTGGGCATAACTGGAAGGCTGACCTTAGATCTGAAAGGAGGAAGGGCTCTCAACGAGACAGGAAGCCTGCTCCTGAAGTCCACACATGGGTATTTTTATTTAAAAAGGGGTAGATTCCCATTTTGGATACTATCATTTCATGGGAAATCTTTCCTGACTTCTCTCTCCTATGGCAAAAGAGAACTTCATCCACTGGTCCAGAAACATCACTGGGCAAAACCCACAGCAGCGCCGACCGCGTTACGTAGGAGAGCCACCCCACCGTTCGGAAACAGACGTGGTATATGATGATTTACTCCTATTTACCGGCCATTCTTGACTAAATGATATTTGGTAAGATACTGACGGTCAGAGCTATGACTCCACCCAGCAGAAAGGCTGGTTACAACAGTATTTAATGGTCCAATTCCCATTTATATGAGGCTTTTATGACATCTTTGTCCAAAGCCTTTCTGTCTGTTGGAAAAATAAATCACTGGTTAAGGAAATAAAAAAAGGAAATATCTTTTCTTCCCGCCCCATTACAGATGTCAGTTAGCCCCCAGCACACTGTCTGCAGAGACGAATGCCCACGCGTTGTCTGGAGGTACGTTACACGGCTCAGTGGAATGAGAAATCGTTCACTGGTCCTTGGTAGGATTCTAATTTCTGAGGTTGATACACAAATGACCATGGGTGGTTTCAGAAAAGAGCGGTAGACGGAGGGATTAAGTTCAGAAGAGTCCCTCGCGTCCCTGGGGGTGGGTGTGCCCTCACTCGCATTGCCGCGTTACGCTCGGGGCCTGAGCGTGTGCCCTTCCGGTTTGCTGGAAGGCGTGTCTGCGATTCAGTGGTGACGGAATACCACGCCCGGCGTACTAAGGGTGATGTGAGGGCCTGATGTTTCCATTACAGCCTCCCAGAGGTGCTTTTATAAATGAAATACTGATCTCCTAACTCTAAAAGTCCATACAGAATTAGAGAAATGCCCAGTATGTTTGGAAAGAAATCAACGAGAACCCATGGGCAAAATTCTAAACACAATTATCCATTATCCTTGTCCTTCAGTAATTTAGGTTTCATGCAACTTTATGGTGTTTAAAGAGTGTTCCCTCAGTGGGGCTGCCTGCTATTGCCATCCTCTTTCACGTCATAGTATTCATCCCTTTGACCTCTTTCCCTGTGGTTCCTGGTTTCTTTCTAGGGCACAGGTTCACACTGGTGAAGCAGCCAGTAAGAATTCCCAGGCTGAGAAGACCCTGGGACCTGAAGGCATTTGAGGGGATTTGAACAAGGGAAACACCCGATTGTTTTGAGCATTGTAGATCACCAAACCAGAGACAAAAGGCGCTACACTGTGATCAGCCTGTGGCAAACTCACCGTGGCTGAAACATCCTTCTCTTCCTTTTGGAACCCTGGGTGGGGTCCCTTAGACCACCGCGGGACCACCTCCTCCCTCCTCCACAAGACAGAATTCTGGGCCGGGCCATGGAGCAGCCTGTCATATGCCCCTCCAATAGTCCTAGTTCCCCGGGAAAGCAGCTGTTCCCTGTGCTATGCCGCCCTTTCTGCAGCTGTTTGCTATTCCGCTGGACTGAGTGACAGCAGAGCACAGGGTGGGAAAGCCACCCTCTCAGATGCTCAGATGGGTAAGCACAGAGCTGCGGGGTTTACTTCATTTAGCCATTTGCAAAATGTAATTATCTTGGGCTTTGGCAATTCACTTAGAGAAGACTTACATTTCGAACGAAGAAGCATGTGCTTTATGCTGCCTCGGCTTTACTCATTAAACCCAAACCGGATTAAACTCCCATTTGCCCCATCCCAGACTCGTATCCACATGGGATGAGACAGAGGGAGCCTGTTGTGCTCGCCCTCCCAGCACCCTCTTAATGACTTTCTTTTTCAGATAGTGAGGGGACCCCCCTTCACCTGGTCCCTGCTGCAGTACCCTAGACGCCGGCTCCACGCGGGTGGTTAGCCCTGCAGAGCTGCCAGTCCCACCCACCCCTTTCTGGGGTCTGTGTGCCTTTTGCCCCTCTGCAGCCCGCCACATGGGCAGATATTGGCAGAGTTCCCATCTCCCGTGCACCACCTCCTCCTTGCGTATGAAACCACTAGGACGTGATGGGCGGGGGTTCTGGTGCTGGGAAACCGAGGCCCCCAGGATCTCATTCTATTTGATTAGGGAGAGTGCGGTTTCCGCCGCACGGCAGCTGTGAGCCCACGTGCAGGAGGGCTAAGGAGACATAATGCAAGATGATGGACAAAGTGGTTTCTGTGCATTAGGATTAATTGTGGGATGCTCTTCCAGTCTTTAGTCTAAAAGGATGATTTCTTTTGGAAAGGTTGCAAACCTGTCCTGGGTATGAGGCAAAGCGAATTTAAACTCCAGAGGATGAGCTCTACTGTTCCTTATGCAGAAGGAATCTCTGCTCAAACTTACGGAGCAGAATCCGCAATGCACCTGGGAATGAGCAGTCCCTGAAGTGAGTGTCTCTGGGGCAAGTCTCAGAGTAAGACAAACTGCCAAAAGGTCCCGGAGGAATGGGTCAAAGGTCACAAGTCTGATCCTTGAGCACCAGGCTCTGGAGCTGCCTGTGTGTGGGGAACAGCCAAGGGCAGCCCAGAAAGGGAAACTGGAAGTTGGCTGGGAAGGAATTAGGTTTAGGGCGGAAAGGAAGATGCACGTGTGTTTCTAGTGGGAAAGGGAAGCCGTAGTGATTTGGCTCTGTTAATGTGCAGCTTGCTGCAGAATGAGAGCTGGGTTTCACAAAACGCCTTCATAATCGTACTTTTAAAATAAGAGTTATATCATATTTTTAAACTCACTTAAGAAAGCTAAGATGGAAGGCCACCCCCTCCCCTATATCACCCCGACCCCCAGACCCCTAACTAGAGCCTGCAGGACTGAAGAACAAGCTCCTGCACCTCCCATGACTCCCTGGCTCTGGGCCCTGGCCGCACACGGAAATCTCCTGGGATCTTTCAAAAATGACCCGATGCCAGGCCTCACCCGCGATTCCGATTCCATTCGTGGGGGGTGAAGATGAGGAAAGGTGTTTTGCCAGTTCTCCCAGTGATTCCATGTATAGCCGGAGCAGAGATCACGGACAGAGAGCCAGCCCTTGCCCTGCGAGGCAGTGGATGGCCAAGCAAGGAGAGGGGGCTGCTTTTGTACGAGGGAGGGGCTGCTGCAAAGCCAGGGGTCAGCCTGCCTCGGCCAGCGAATTCCAATTTGAGTAAAGGCTGCTATTTGCAGCCTCAGAGAATCCTACGTGTCAGAACTAAAACAGCAACCGCTCCCTGCTGCCAGCCGTCGGGGGCACTGGGTCGTGAGGAGGTGCCACTCTGGTTAACCTGATTTTTCAGGTTCCAGGAAGACAGAGATATTGCTAACTGTGGAGTTAGCATTGCCAAATTCGACTGTCCCTGAGGAGGAAGCCCGGAGAGTGCAAAGCCCAGCATGCACCCTGAAACCACACGCCACCCAAGCCTCCATCCCAGCCATGCTCTCGAGTCTCCTCTCCCACCAAACAGATGGGCATTTATTCTACCTGGAAACGAGAGCCTTGGCCTGAGGTGCGTTCCCGCTTCTCCCCCACTCCCCGCATGCCGTCTGGTGGGGAAGCTGGAGGCAGAGGAACTGCTGGCGTCCAGCAGCAGGAGCAGAATCTGGGGCTTGCACAACTCACAGGCTTGACTCACGGGGCCCCCCGCCGATGGGCTCCCCCAGGAGAGCGTCACTGGAACTAAGGCACTTGTGTCTCTGCCATAACACCTTCCACATCCTCACAGCTACTGGTCAACTCTCAGCTCCTGAACACACCGTCTGTATTTCTCACCCGCCTGACAGGTCCGTGGGCACTTGTCTCGAAGCTTCCCCAGCGGAAGAAGCAAGCCCACATTTTACAAATCTTGACGTCTACTGCAGTATCCCGTCACGGTGCCTTGCGTACAGTGGGCACCCGGTAAATATTCTTTGCACAGGTGAATGAGTAAATAGATAAATGTCTTCAGCTTATCACTGGGGATCGAGAAGAACAGAGCTCAGAGCCTTCACGAGACTGAGCACTTTCGAAATACAGCCAGGCAGCTTATGGAACTCACTCTCACGTGGAAAATCAGGGGCTTCTTTCCTTCCTCACTCCCAGTGTGAAATCTCTAAAAGGCTGCTGTGTCCCAGCTTAAGGGACAGGTGAGGACACATCTCCCGGCACGTGCTTCTGCACAGATGAAGCCTCAGCGAGCAGTCCTGGCCCGGGCCACGCTCCATGGGGACACGCACTCCACTCTGCAGCGCCTCAGCGCCGGGCCCGGCCTTCGCTCAGGGGGCTCCTGCCCGCAGACCCCCTCCCGCCCTTCCTCACCTCCTGGCATCTTCTCAACCGACCTGAAGGATATAAACATGTCCTCTGCGTAAACTTGGGAACGAAGAGTCCAGGGACACAGAGACACAGAACAGGTTGACATCTGCACCAGGCTTGAGCCGTACACTGTGGCCACGAGCTAGGTAACACTGTAGACAGCAGCTGGCGCAAACATCTGCTTAGCAGGCGTTACACCCAGAGGGCTTGGGAGGCACATCACCAGGGATTCAGTTTCTAATCTTAGTGCCAGCAGGTAACTTTAGCTGTAACCTATTCTATTTCTCAGTGTCTAAGTCTACACCACCTCGAGCAGGGAGATGTGTCTGGCTTTTATCGGCCTCTAGAAAAGAAGAATGACTAACCTGAGATGCTGTACAGAATAAAATGCTATAAAATAAGAGATTTTTTTATTACAACAGCAGTACATATTATTACTCTGACGCGTCTCCTGGGCCCCCTAAGGTTCACGAGCCTCTGGGGCAGTGGGTGGTGGGTGGGTACTGCCATCTGGGATGTCTACTTGGAAGCAGCCGAGGAGGGCAGATGAAACGTTTGTGATAATGCAGAGCCACTCAGCACGGACCTCAGTGTCAACTGAGATTTAAGGAGCGCTCTTCACAAATGTCAACTTACCGTAGGCACGTCAGTAGCACACTATAAAACAACACACCCATGAGAAGGTGGAGATGTAGGCATCAGAGCTGGGGAGCTAGAAAGAAAGGAAAGGAGCAGCTCTCATGGAAGCAGAGCCCCATCCGCCTGTCTCTCAACGCTAACGGCAGGGAGGGACAGGGCGGCTGGCCGTGGGGTGGGTGGGTCTGGCTCCTTCCGCTTTCATACTGACAAGCTCCCTGGGAATCACTTTCTAGTTAGTGCACGGATGCATTTTCCCCTCCAGTAAGATTTCTGGGCTGGGGTTAACTACTGGCATTCACTCTTTCACTCAGCAAACACGTATCACATGCCCACTTGGTGCAGGGACGGTTCCAGCTGCCAGAGCCCCAGCAGTAAACCCGGCAGACAATTCCACTTCAGTGGTTGACACCATGGACTGTCAAGCCAGCTGGGCTGGACCCTGGCTTTTCCACTGCCAGCTCTATGGATTCTGGCAAGTTTTTAACCTCGGGAACTTGGTTTTCTCACCTGTAAAATGGGGATAAGAATGGTACCTTCTTCGTTAAGGAGACCGTGAGGATTAAACGAGTTGTGCATGTAAAGGGCTTGGAGCAGCTCCTGGTGCAGAACAAGTGCTAGGCACATGTTTGCTTGTTACTATTTCTGCCCCCATGGAATAGGCAGAGGTAGATAAGGTACAAAAGCAAACGTCTAATTTGTTAGATAGTGATACATGTTGAGGAGACACTAATGCAGGGAGGAGGACATGATGAGTGTATATGTGGCCAGGCAAGAAATTGTAATTTTAGATAAAGAAAGTCTTCCTTGAGATGTTGACGTTGGAGAAGAGTCTGGAAGGGAGGGAGAAAGGGAGCCATGCAGTGTTTAGAGGGAGAGCATTCCAGGTAGAGGGCACAGCAAGTGTAAAAGCCCTGTGAAAGAGTTAGGGAGGCCAGAGGGTTTGGGTGGAGGAGAGAGGGGGAGAGCAGGAAGAATGGGGGTCAGAGAGCGACCGTACAAAAAGCTCACATACCGAGCAGGACTTCTTGCTAACGCATGGTGCTGGCTCCCCTCCACCTGCCACCTGCGTCGCCCAACTGCAGAGCCCGGGCTCTGCCGCAGACTGACCTGCTCCTGGTGCTGACACCGGATCCTCAGCAGCTGGTCGTGGTGCTCCTCCTGCAGGCGTGCCGCCTCCGCCTCAAATTGCAGCTGCAGCCGCTCCTCCAGCTCCTGGAGCTGGGCCTGCTGCTGCCAGCTCAGCCGCCGCACCTCGTCCTCGAACCGCCTCTCCAGCTCCTCCTTCTCCTTCTGCAGCTTCTCACACTTTGCTGTATGGAAGGCTGGGCGGAAAGCACAAGATCGTTCTTAAAAACTTGGATAGGAGGCTCGGGAAGGACTCGATGTTCACGCTCAGATCAAGGCTGATGTAGCAAACAGGGTGAGATCCTCTGACTTTGGGAGGCCTGGCCAGTTTGCAATGTGCTTTCCTTTCCATGCCATTTGATCCTCACAACAGACCCTGGATGCTGAGGTGAAGCTAGAGCCTTGGAGAGACTTGCCGACGGTCATCCGGTGTGTGGAGAAAGAGCTGCGAAGGCCAATTAGGGCTTTCTGAGTGCAAGGCCCCTAGAACTGTTTCTCAGAGTGTCCATGGACCACAGGCATCAAAAATATTGGGTGTTTATTAAAAATGTAGACCCCTAAGTGCCCCCTGGGTAAATCAGAGCCCCTGGGGCAGGAACTCAGGACCTCAGGTGTTAGCAAGTCCCTGGGTGGCTTGGGAGCTGCACACTATGGAAGCTGGAGGTGGGGGTGGGTCCGGAACCTAAGGCTATTCCCTCCCAGCTGAAATGCCAAACTGGACAACCTCAGAGAAGGTGTGGGGGTTTCCTTTCAGGTACCCCGGAGCTGTACTACTCACTATCCCTTCTGTGTAGGCATTCTGTCCCCGTCACAGAGTCAGGGTTGGGACAGGAGGTGATGACAGCAGCCACCACCACTCCTGCCTGAGCTCCTCCTCTGGCTGCTCTGCCTGACATTGGTGCCTCCCCTGGGCAAGAGCCGAGTGCTTTCCTGCTAAAGATCTCTTCCTGAACTGTGAGCCTGCTTCCAAGACCTTGACAATCTACTACGTCTAGGCCGGAGCTGATTACACACACACACACACACACACACCCTGCGCTGCACATATCCATCATTTACATTCCACAAAGATCGAGCCCTACCATGCTCTCTGCTCTGTGCTCCAAGCTGGGAGACACTGGCATTTACTTGAAAACAGAATGAGCAGGTATAGGCACTGATTAACTGCAATCCACACCCCGGGTGTGGTTAGCTGTGAGCAGCAATAGACGTCCAAGGACGTTAGAAAGTGTTTGAAACACCCTAATCGGAAGTCCCGCCCTACAGAGACAGCAAATTCAAGGGCTACTTTACCACATTTGGCTCTAAAAGAGTTTAATTAGGATGAGGGATGCTAACTTTGTTCCCTGGTGAGCTGAGTGGTAGGTTGGCTAGCTGTCGTACAGGCACCCCGCCCTGTGTGGAGGGTGTGTACACATCTGGCCAGCCCAGCAGCCTCACGCTGTCCCCATGGCCTTCCTAGCCAAGGCTTTCATTGGCCCAGTGTCCTGTGTCCCACCATTTAATGGAGGACTCTGATCTGCCAGTGCAATCAGGGTGTCCTACGGTGGCGTGGCAGGAGCTGTCTGCTCCTCGAGTCGGCAGTAAAGAGACTTTTATTGGCCTAAGTTCTAAACAATTGCTACCACTACTGTTTAGGATTTTGAACTATTGAGGGTTTTATTTATTTATTTATTTATTTTAAAATCACAAACACAGAAAAAAGTTGGAAGTACAGTGCAAGGACATTATTGTACAAATGACTTTTTCCCCCTGAACCACTTGAGAGTAAGACGGGGACCTGCTGTCCTTGGTGCATATTCCCTACCACAAGGACACTCCCCAACTCAACCGCAATATTGTCATCAAAGTCAGGAGATAAACACGGATGCAGCAATGCCAGCCAATGCGCAGACCCAGTTGAGTTTTGCCAGTTGTTCCAATGACGACCTTTCTAGAAAAAGAATCCCTAATCACATGTTGTACTAAAGGAGACTCCTGTGTCCTTGGTCTCCTTTAGGCTGGGACAGTTCCTCAGTTTTTCCTTGACTTTTGGGACTTTGACATTTTTTTGTTTGTTTGTTTTTGTTTTTTGTCATTTAGACTAGAAAGAAGTTGACACTTGTAAAGATCAGGAATTTTGTAGACCGCCTCTCATTTCGGTGAGTCTGATGATTCCTTCTCACTAGATTCGGGTGGTGCATGTTTGGCGGGAATGTCACAGAAGTGGCACTGTGTTCTTCTCAATTACATAATAATAAATTTGAATAATGTCTTTAAAATGGAAACCTCTTTTTAAGCTGGTTCCATAGTGAGCCAGGAAAATAATGAGTACTACCGATTATTACGTGGTGCAACTGAAGGTAATTTTGTGGTATAGAGGAAAGGGTGTTAAAAATGGCCCATTTTGGGTATCAAATACATTAAGCATGCACCTCAATATACATATTATCATCACATCTTTTTTTTTTTTTTTTGAGACAGAGTCTCACTCTGTTGCCCAGGCTAGAGTGCCATGGCGTCATCCTAGCTCACAGCAACCTCAAACTCCTGGGCTCAGGCGATCCTCCTGCCTCAGCCTCCCGACTACAGGCATGCGCCACCATGCCCGGCTAATTTTTTCTATATATTTTTAGTTGTCCAATTAATTTCTTTCTATTTTTAGTAGAGACGGGGTCTCGTTCTTGCTCAGGCTGGTCTCGAAGTCCTGAGCTCAAACAATCCGCCCGCCTCGGCCTCCCAGAGAGCTAGGATTACAGGCGTGATCCACCGCGCCCGGCCCATCATCACATCTTCTGTGTGTAAATCTTTAAGGAACAAAGCTGGAAGACACCGAGCTTCTGACCACAGGTAGGAAGATGGCCTTTTGCTTGCTGGCTAATAAATATTAGTACGAAAAGCAGGTTTGGTCAGAAGCTTTGTGGTACCTGGTAGTGAGGGATAGGGAAGGAGACCCAGAGTCCTCCCCTTCCTCTGGTCCCTGGAGGCTACAGTCCGAACAAAAGGAACTTAAATAACAGTGACCGATGGGTGACATGGCTCAGATCTGGTGGCAGCAGTGAGGAAATAAATGTCTGTTGCCAAGAGTTCTGAGCCCCTGGCCTTACTGGAGCTTCAGCCTTCCCCAAAGAGCTCCCTCCGACTAAGAAAAGTTACGAGGGATTGCACCAGGGCCTTGAGCTAGTGAGAAAAGCTCTCAGGATCCACAGGCTAGGTAAGAGGTGCACACGTAACAGGGTTATCCTGGGATGACTAGATTTTAACAGAATAGAACAAAGACCATGGAATGACAATTAAAAAACAGTGATGGATAGATTGAGACAAAGTCAAATTAAAGCAAGTAGAGAATCAAGAATGTTTTCTACGTTGGGAAAAAGCACAGAGCTGCTCTACAGACAAAAACATGGGCCCCACCACTCCCGCTGGGGCTATCCTGGTAATTAATCAGCCCATGCGCATGGGGGCCTGTCCGGAGGGTGCTCTCGCTTCTGTAGCTCTGAGTGAACTAACGTCATAGCGGCCTTTGCCCCACCTGCCATGTGCTGGGAGAAAATCAAGCAGTGATGTCGATATGTTGCTTGTGTTCAGAACAGGTCTACAGAGAAGTTCACAGAGAGGAGGCATGCGTGGCCAGGAAACATGTGAAAAGATGGTCGGCACCATTCATTCTTACAGAGGAAATAATTTTTCCTCTATAAGACTGAGAAAGATGAAACATTCTTATGATACGGGAAGAGTATGAGGAAACTGGCCTCCGACGGACGGTTGGTGGGAATATAATTGATGCAGCTGCTTTGGAGGGCAAAGATATCTTTCAAAATGTAAATGACATGGGTGGCAGCTAAAGAATGCAGGTTTGTTTTTGGGGCAATGAAAATATTCTAAAGAATATTGTAGTGACAGTTAAACAACTCTGTGAATATCCTGAAAACCACTGAATTGTACACTTTAATGGGTGAATTGTATGGTATGGCAATTATATCTCAATATAGTTTTTTACCAAAAAAGGGAAGAAGATTTTAAAAATATAACATGACAGAGAAGATATCACAGAGAATAAATTTAGATGTTTTTATAGAAGGAAAGTTCATATTCTGATGTTAAAACCCTATGTAATAATGGTAAAAACAAATGCTGGCAAAATAAAACACAAATGAAAACCCCAGCACTGCACTGTTTTGTATTTACACACACATAGATGTATACACATATGGATATACAGTCATGCATCACTTCATCATGGGGACGTGTTTTGAGAAATGAGTCATTAGGCAATTTTGTCATTGTGCAAACATCATAGAGTGCACTTACACAAACCTAGAGATGGGATAGCCCACTACACGCCTAGGCTGTATGGTACAGCCTATTGCTCCTGGGCTACACACCTGTACAGCATGTGACTGCATGGAATACTGTAGGCCGTTGGAACGCAATGGTAGTAGAAGAGGTTCAGTACAATCACAGCACAAAAGATACACAAAAGGTGCACCTGTATAGGGCCCTTACCATGAATGGAGCTTCCAGGACTGAAAGCTGCCCTGGGTGGGTCAGTGAGTGTGAAGGCCTAGGACGTTGCTGTACACTACTGTAGACTCTGCAAACACTGTACACTTAGACTACACTAACTTACAAAAATTGTTTTCTTGCTTCCATGATAAATTAATCTTTGCTTACTGTAACTTACCTTTACAAACTTTTTAGCTTTTTAACTTTTTGACTCCTTAATAACACTTAGCTTAAAATACAAACACATCATACAGCTGTCCAAAAATATTTTTTCTTTGTATTCTTATTCTATAAGCTTTTTTCTATTTTTAAAAATTTTTTGTATTTTTTTCTTTTAAAATTTTTTTTGTTAAAAACTAAGACAAGTACACACATTAGCCTAGGCCTACACAGGGTCAGGATCATCAATGTCACTGTCTTCCACCTCCACATCTTGTCCCACTGGGCGGTCTTCAGGGACAATAACACGCATGCAGCTGTCATCTCCTATGACAGCAATGCCACCTTCTGGATACCTCCTGAAGGACCGGCCTGAGGCTGTTACACAGTTAACTTTTGTTTCATAATAAACAGAAGGAGTATAGTAAACAATAAAAAGCATAGTATAGTAAATACATAAACCAGTCACATAGTCGTTTATTATCATTATCAAGTATTATGTACTGCATATAATTGTTTGCATTATACTTTTATACGACTGGCAGCACAATAG